TCCTGACCTCGTGAATCCGCCCATCTCGGCCTCCAATAGTGCTGGATTAAGGCTTGAAGCCACCTGCGGGCCCGGCCTAGTTTTTCTTTTTTTTTTTTTTTGAGACGGAGTCTCGCTGCTGTGTCACCCAAGCTGGATGCAGTGGCGCGATCTCGCTCACTGCAAGCCCCGCCTCCCCAGGTCACGCCATCTCCTGCTCAGCCGTCCGGTAGCTTGGGACTACAGGCGCCGCGCCACCGATGCCCGTAAGTTTTTGTATTTTTAGTAGTGACGGGGTTTCACCCAATTTATCCAGGATGGTCTCGATCTCCTGACCTCGTGATCCACCCGCCTCGGCCTCCCAAAGTGCTGGGATTACAGGCTTGAGCCACCGCGCCCGGCCATAGTTTTTCAATTTTTTATTTTAGAGGTGGGGTTTCACCATATTGCCCAGGCTGGTCTCAAACTCCTGGGCTCAAGCAATCCACCCACCTCAGCCTCCCAAAGTGCTGGGATTACAGGCATGAGGTACCATGCCTGGCAGCTACTGAGTCTTAACCACAATGGATTAGACTTTCTGGAGGCCCTGTTTCCCTATCACCACCCCAACCTGGTCTTTAGGAGCCAGGAGTTAGTCCAGGGCTTGCCGGGGAGTTGGCGTGGTGACTGAGCAGCCCCCATCTTCCTACCAGGGTGTGGGTTTGCGCAGATGTACAGGTGGTCCCCTAGCTGTGCCCTCCCAGTAGCCCCCTTCTCCACTGTCCTTAGTAGCATAGTCACTGCTCTCTGCTCCCATGGTCCTGGCAGGTCTGTCTGATGGCTAGGAGTCCTTTACTAGAGGGTCTGTCCCCTGCCCACATAGGTGGTTGTCCCAGCTCTTCAGAGTTCCCTTGGCTTATTGCTGGGCCTGCCTCAAAACCCTTTACTTGGGACCATCGTGGGCACCAGGCCCTCAGGGTCTCCAGAGAGGGCATCTGAGATTCAGAGAATCAGCTTGAAGCTGGACAATCACTTTTTGTGGAAAGGAAAACTCCTAACGTTTGTGGGGCACTTTATTGCGTGTGCTAGGCTCTGTTTTGAGGATTTCTAAACACTGGCCTCCTTAATGCCCAGAACAGCACCCCGAAGTGATGATTAATCACCCCTTTTCTGTAAGTGGGAACAGGGACACTCCAGAGTTTGGAAACCTGTCCGGGTTCCCTACCAGTAGGGGGTGGTCAGCCTCAAAGCCCAGCCTGAAAGCCATCCAGCATGAGGGCTGAGGACCCCAGCAGGCACCAGAGGGTCTTTGGAGAGGTCACAGGTTGTCAAGCGGGTGAGAACAGGGCAGGGCAAGTTCAGGACCAGCCAGGGCCTGGGTGTTCAGGCAGTGGGAGAGCGGATGCTGGCACCAGTGCCATGCTGGGATCTGCAGGCAGCTCCAGCCACAGCCTTCTGGGGCTGATTTCTGGTCATGGAAGTGAGAACCAAAAGCTGGGGCTGGGAGCACCCTGGAGGGATAGCCCGGGAGCAGGTAGAGGGCCAAAACTGGAGTGGGGGCAGGAAGTGCTCCAGCAGTGACTCCCCAGAGGTGGGTCCCAACCTCCATGTCGGCCAATTCCAGGTGACCCCACCGGGTTTCCCCCACTCCTTTGTCCCGCGGAGCCCCTCCCTCATGAGTGCTGAGCCCAAGGGCCAGGCTGTCCCCAGGGGCGGAGAGTTGCGGGCCCTTCCCGATCCAGTAATGGGCCTGGGAGATGCCAGATTAGCGTGTTGCCTGTCCGGAGAGGTGGGCCAGCTGATGCCCAGGTCGGGGCCCTGCCGCTGGCCACATTGGGCTCCGGTCCAAGGCTAGAAGGCTGGCCCCAGCTGCAACCCCTTTCCGGCTCCCCTGCCACCCACCTCCCGGGGCTGGCCAGCATTGGGGAGCCGGGCGGCCGCAGGTAAAGGGCTTGGGGCGGCGCCGGCGGCTAGGGCGCTGCAAGGAGGGAAGAGCGGCGCCGGAGGGGTTAACCGCGGGAGGAGGGGGGCTTCTGCCGGCGGGAGGGGGGTCCCAGCCCCAGCGGCCGCCCGCTCCGCCCCTGCCGCCTCCGCGGCCCAGTCGGCACCGGCGAGGCCGTGCTGGAACCCGGGCCTCAGCCGCAGCCGCAGCAGGGCCGACAGTAAGTGTGGGGCGGGCTCCGGTGCGCGGGCAGGACTCCGGGGCAGGGGCGCCCCGGGGGCGACTGGCCAGGCGGGGTGCCCACCTCCCACGCGTGGGCGCCTCAGGGAGTGGTGTGGCCGCCGGTCCCCCCGCCCGCCACGCTCCGAGGCGTAGCTGTGGGGACGCGGGGGAGGCGGTGGGAGCGAGCTGCGGGCGCTGCGCGGTGGCCCTGCGGTCTGGCGTGTGCACGCGAGTGTCCGCACACATGTGCGTGGGCTCTGGGTGCCCTGGCGCGGCCGGCACGCCCATGGGGGCCGGGGGTGCCCGGGCGTCTGCGGAGTGTGCAGGTGGGGTGCGTGCGTGCAGCGGGGCGGTGCGGCGCTGCAGCCTCGGGGTGGAGCGTGGGCGCGCGGGTCTTTGTGCCCGCGCGTGGCGGCGCGTGCCGGGGCGTGTGTGCGCGTGGGCGCCGCCGCCCGCTGTCAGGGACTGACAGCTGTCCCGGGGACTACCGCCCCGGTGTGGCCTTTGCGGACCCCCTCCCTGCTTTTTCCGGGAACTGGGCGTCCCCCGCACCCCTCCTCGCCTGGGTGCGGGACCCACCCCTGGGTTCCTCGAAAGTCCAGCGGGGCGCGGGGGCACCCTGGAGGGCCAGGCGGGAAGCAGGGCGAGGCGAGAGGGGACGGAGAAGCCGCGGAGATGCTGTCGCAGCCGCAGCCGGCGAGCCGGGACCCACCATTCCCCTGTCCCCGCCCTACGCTGTCCGGCCTCTCCTCCGGGTTTCCCTTCGGACGTCTCTGAGCCCCCCTCAGCCTCCTCCTCGAGGGCCAGTTCCCCACACCCCCCCAAAGCCTCCACATTTCCTCACTCGCCCCGCTTCCCCCTAGCCAGGCTTAGGCTCTCTTTCGGCCTCCTACTCGCCTTCCTTTCCCTTCCCCGTGCCCTCCTCTCTTTCCTCACCCGGTGGTCCCCGACAGGGGCAGCGGAGGTAAGGGGAAGGCTGGAGATAGGAGGGGGACTGGGTGTGTTCAGTCAGAGGGGTATCTGTGGACAGTGCGGCTGGGGACTTCATGGATCTTTGGGTGTGTAGGGGATCGAGGAGAAGGGTGTGGATGTCAGGCCAGCTCAGTGACCCCAGCATCCCTGGTTTTGCCCGCAGTGACGACAGCTCCCCAGGAGCCCCCTGCCCGGCCCCTCCAGGGGGGCAGTGGAGCTGGCCCGGCGCCTGGGCGCGCCATGCGCAGCACCACGCTCCTGGCCCTGCTGGCGCTGGTCTTGCTGTACTTGGTGTCTGGTGCCCTGGTGTTCCGGGCCCTGGAGCAGCCCCACGAGCAGCAGGCCCAGAGGGAGCTGGGGGAGGTCCGAGAGAAGTTCCTGAGGGCCCATCCGTGTGTGAGCGACCAGGAGCTGGGCCTTCTCATCAAGGTGCGTGGGTGGGCCTCAGTCCTTTCAGCTGTCACCCATCACCCCTGGCACTAGCTGCGTGCCAGTGAGGCCCTGTGCCGGTGCTGCTTTCAGATCAGTATCCCTGAGGACGGGGTGCAGCCGGAGGCTGTGGGACAGAGGCTGGGGTCCAGGTCTCTGTGTTTTCAATAGGGCAACAATGGGGTCATTTGTTTTCCTTGGAGAGCCTGGCACAGGACTGTGAACCTAGATTGTGTCCTTCAGGGTGTGATGGTGGTGGGATGAGGGGAAAATGAATGAATGACTGGCCATAGCACAAGGGCTATGTTACATTTGCACAGGTCTCACTCACCGGTCTAGTTGCCACATAAAATCCAAGACTGTCATTTAGGGCGTCCCCCGCACCCCTCCTAGCCTGGGTGCGGGACCCACCCCTGGGTTCCTCGAAAGTCCGGCGGGGCGCGGGGGCACCCTGGAGGGCCAGCCGGGAAGCAGGGCGAGGCGAGAG